CAGCCACCCTGTGAGTGGGCAAGTACATCATTCAAGACCTAGGCACTGAACCTGACACAGCAGCAGCACATAGGAGTCCATGGAATAAAAGGAAACATTTAAAAATCTCTCTTACTAGAGAGTTTGAACTATAAAACACCACTTTTGAGCCAATTCAGAGATTGGGTTGCTTTGAGGACCAATATCAAATTATTAGGCCATTATAATTCAGACATACTTCGAAACAGCTTTAATGTGAAATAAAACTCAACAAGAAAGCAGTGAGGGGTGAATGTTCCTTAATCCTCTGTGATAGGCAGAGGCTGCCCAATTGGAAAATGAATGGACAGAATGTCTGAATTGAGATAAACGTCCTGTAGTCACAGAACAGTGGTGAAGGCTTCTATACCATCTATTTGGTGACAGCAGGAGAGGCTACCAAATCAGGAGAGCAAGACTCCAGTCCCAGAAAGAGCCTGCAAATCCAAAAGATCCGTGGTACTTACTTCCAGCTGGAGGAAGAGTTCTGAAAGAGATAAGAAGTGCAATTAGATTCGCTAGGCTGTGTCACCTTTCTAGACGGTGATGTTAGCATTCATTTAGAAGCAGTAATTGCTTTCTGAAAGCACGATACTCAAAGCAAATGTTTTCATCAGCAAAACATTGATATACATGAAGGAAAAGGACGCAAGTACTCCTGTCTAGTTAAAATCTGCCCCTGGATGGATCAACTCTGGCAGTTCTGCCCAAGGGCAAAACACAAGAACGGGAACCACACTACCCTGGCAAACTAAAGGTTATCCTTTTTTTCCCCTCAGTCCACACCCTCCATCAGTCCCAAAAACAGCAGAAAGGGTCAAGAAGCAGCACTGTAATCACTCCAAAAGCCGAGTTGATGCTGATGTTTTTAAAGCATTGTACGAAGGGCTCTGTGCAATAAGGACACTCCCAGAGGATCCAGAGGACAGAAGTCCTGAATCCTCCTCGAGCTTCACTATCAGGCCACCAAGTTCTGCTCAGAGATCAGAGACTTGCGCTGTCTCCGATCACATTCCCAAGTTTCTGATCAAAGGCAGCCTCACCTCTTCCCTGATGACTCTACACTCATAAGGCTCCTCTGAGACAACTGAAGTATCTGCCCAACAGTATTCAACAGCGTGTTTAGTGCCTCCTGCGTGCCCGGTGATTAGTGACTGTTTACCTTGAAGCTGCCCTACCAGTAGAATGGTAATAAATTACAATCCCCTCTACAAACCCAGTACTTGAAACCAAATAGGTCTGTGGTTTCTAATCTTTTCTGGGTGACAACAGGGGTCTGCTACATACAGTCCACAAAGATTGTTGGTAGACCAGTAACTTAGTAGGAGAAGCTATTCATCATCTACCATAGGCCTCTTTGCAAACCTGGTAAATTCTATGAACCCATTCCCCAGAAGAATCACATATTGGCATTCATTCATACTCCACAGAATTTTGATAGTTATAGGAACCCCAGATTAAGAGCCTAGATGCCATGTTACAGTTGTTGAATGGGAAAATTAATCACTAGGACTCTCTGGACACAGGCACACGCAGCCCAAAATGCCTCACTTATGACCATGTCAGATGTACACCACGCATGAACAGGCCGGACAGCTGCAGTCCTGTGCCATTCTGAGAAGTCACACATGGCACCAGCAAGTAAAAATAACAATTAGCACTTAGACGTGGTGCGAGTTGTTTTAGTTAAAGGAGACAGACTCCAGACACTGCTGAAGCAGGTGGATTAGCTCTGTGTAGAATGTGCTTTTAAAAGCAGTAGTGACTGATTTAGGAGCTCTTTTGCATTTTTACCTGGAGGAAAGAAATGTTTATGAAAGAACACACAAGGACAAAATTGAGAGTCTGTGGGCAGAAAGAAGAAAAACAACTCTTACTCACCCTACTATTCTAACCTAAGAATACTGGCTCATATCAATTTTTTTCCGTATGTACAGCTTATGCTGAGTCTGTGAAGTATTAGTATTCCCCTGTACAGATGGGGAAACTAAAGCTTAAAGAGCAAATATCCTGCTTAAAGGCAGGTCTAAAGTGATGGAGGGGGAAGATGAACCTAAGACCCTCTCCTTCCACAATGCCATCTCCTTTGCCTACTAAAGGGGAAGTCTAGGAAGAGGGTTGAAGATTTTAAAGATGTCCCAAGGAGGTCCCACAGGAACTCAGAGTGAGGATACTGGGAGGGCCCAGCAGGAGGTGGATGGGCACAGGGCTAATGGCTGTGGCTTCATTTTCCCAGTGTACCCACACCCTTCAGGTCCTTCCTTTTCTATCTGTTGGTGTACACTGAACATCTTTTCTTTGTGGGGTGAGAGTAAAGATTCCACCGATAAAAAGTCAGAAACTCATTGGGTCAGAACGCAATGTGAGGCAAGGCAGCAGCCACCATTTTACAAACCCAACATCCACCATGGCTGGAGCCAACACTCTGCTGGCACCCAGGATACCAATGATGGTGAGCTTTAAAATTCAACACACATGAAAGATTTCCTGTGCATCAGGAATCCATGTTTATACACTCTAAAAGATGCCCCAAGAAGGTCCCCTAGGAACTCAGGGGATACTCTGTCATATCTTATTTCTGCATGATTCTTTATTTAACCCATGTTGTGCCTTCACTTGACACAGGTGGATTTCTTTTGTCAATGACACAGCTTGTTTCCTAAAGTCAAGGACAGAGTATTACATGACTCTATACTGCTCAGTGTTTAGAAGTGGCAGACGCACACAAATCTTAGTTGAACAAACACATTTACTGTATAAAACATACCAGAAGAGTGCCCTTTCCATGAATGCTTATACTATAGTACTTTAGGGAAATAACAAGAGGACACCCCCTCCCCAGCACAGAATACTGAAGGAAACAAATGTGAAAGAGACTAAAACAACCCGTAATCTTTATTACATGTCAGCACTTCTGATTGTTCATTAGGCCAGTCACATGAACATCCTGAGCCAGGATAGGGTACCAGGGAGACCAACCTAACTGCAAGGAGTCACCACGCACTCCCTTGACTATTGGGCCGTTCTTTGGCAACCAGAAGAAAAGAAGAAATAATATTTTATACCACTGCAGCTTGGGAGTCTTTCTCCTCCTAAACTCTCTCCCTAGTGAACTATCTGAGATACATTTTGGAGTACCACGCATAGGGCCACAGTATACCAAGTATCAGCAAATGGTAGAAAGTTTAAAAATGATTCATTTTCCATTTTGAAAAGGCTTACCTGCATTTCGTATCCTCTCTTTGTACTGCTGATCAAGTTTTTTCATTCTTTTCTGATATTCCTGTAATGTACCTAATTTTGAGCATTTAAAAAAATAAAGTTATTTTGAGGAGCAATCCATTCTACATTGTTTCCTAAATTATCCTTTAGCATCAACAATACAAACCAAGGAAAGCTGCACCTCAGCAGTTCAATGGACACTGGTTCTCAACCAGGCACAGAGCAGAAACCACCTGGGGTCTATTTTGAGTTCACCTCAACCTAGCACATCAAGATGATAGAGACTGAGAGGGAGTGGAAAGGTGCTGACGCCCCCAAGTGGTTCTGATCACGTATTGCAGTAGTCTTAGTCACGGGCCTCCCTTTCTTGGACAAAGTTCAACGTCCTTCACCAGGGTCTAGGTCAACACTGCCCAGCAGAACTTTCTGCAGTGGTGGAAATATACTACATTTGCACTGTCCAATATGGTAGCCACTAGCCACATGTGGCTATGTTAGCATTTGAAATGTGGCTAGTGCAACTGAGGAACTGAATTGCTACCTGTATTTAGTTAAATTTAGCTAGTGACAATACTACACAGCTCACATACAGATTCTAACCAAATGTCTACTCATTTCACTGCTCTTCCCCCAAAGAAGCTAATTACGAGGGGCCCAACTTTAGAAGGAATTATCTCCTGATCATAATGCTTGCCCATGGGCTAGTCCCATGGAGTGGATCACCCCACCCCCAAGTAATAAAAGAACCTAGTCGGAAAGCAATTTCACTGATGAGGGAATTGCACAAAATGAAGCCAAAGAGCTAACAGCAGCAGCTAACTGTCCCCAAGCTCTATGGTGTGCCCAACACTGTGCTAGGCACTCCTCACACATAATCTCATCTACTGCCATGTTCTTCATTTCACAGGTCATAAAATAGATTAAGAAAGTGCTTGCCCAAAGTCACTTTACTAGAAGGCAGCGAATGACGCTGAGAGCCTGCATGCTGACTCCCCAGGCTGCGCCCCTTTAGCCGCAGCAGCACTGACAAGACAAGCCCACTTTTAATTTACCAAGCAAAAAGGGAACACAGTGGGGATAATCCACAGTTCATTAACTCTTGGTTTAGAAAGAACAGTAAAACTTTATTCTTTAGAGAAGTCCCTTCTGGCAGCACCCGTAGTTCAGTGGG